TGCTCCCCCGGGCGCCCTAGATGGCAGCTTTCTGCTCCACACAGAGAGGGCTGTGGCTCGGTGGTCTGTGGTTGCATCAGGAAGGGCATCCTGCGTAAAAATAATTGCCAAGTCTTCGTGTGGCTTTGTTTGCTGTGGTGACCCCTGACAAAGGGAGCAACTAAAAGAAGAAAAAAAATATATACATATATAATATATATACATACATATAAACATATATGATTCTATAATTTTCCCACTGACTCTACATCCAGGAATTATTTTACAGACTCAGTAACCGTTGGATGCCAAAGCTGTCCGAAGTGAACCCGTCATTATTTGACTGTAAATGAAGAACTTATAATTGTTGGCAACAAAACACGACTCTGGTGATTTCGCTCATTTATTACAAACTATGTGGTACTCTTTTGATAGTGAATGATTTTTAGTGGGTATTGTTATAATAGATGACACACGTACAAACTATTAAAATCAAAAACATTAATTATTTTAGTTTTTCGTAGCTGGTTATAAATAACATTTTGGTGAAAAATCAGAGCAGGGTGTTGTATCTTAGGTAAAATGACACAAAAAGCCTATAAAATATAAACAGTAAAATCTGTTTTTCTGCTTCTATTTAAAAAATGCATTATTTGCAGACAAAAGCAATTTATCATAAGCATGATGGAATCATTATTTCCTTTTTCTTCATTAATATCTCAGACGAGGAATACAAATAATGAACTTTTTCTCAGTTTCTTGTTTTTCTCTGCAGTGGATTGTACCTCGGTGTCTCTTATATCTTCATAATCGCATGTTATCTTTTAATCTCAATTAATTTTACACACACGGCTCCCTGACTCCTGCTTTCTACAGCAGATACACACATACATACACACCGAGATGCAATGAGATGTTGGCTCTTTCACTCTCTCTCTCACGCACACTCTTACAGATTACACAGATAAATGGCTCCCACTCCCTGGCGGAAAATTGAACATTTGGATTTGCAGAGTAAGAGCGTTACGTTGTGATAAAATAAAAAGAGTGAAAAGAAAGAGAAAATCAGATAATTGAAGTGCTAAATCAAGTGATGGGAAAAGAGAGGATCTGCATTCATTAAACTCCGTCGTTAGCTGAAGAGTCACAGCTCCAAAACGACTCTGATCCCTCTGTTTGTGTTGTTTCTTATTCCCTGTTCAGTCCATGTTTGGGGTGTGTGGATGGGGGTCTGCTGGGAGAGAGGATTAGGATGTCTGTTGCCACACCTTTCTGTCCCTCATGGGATACTATACTGTCACTCAGCTTGACGTCCGTTTACAGATAAAAAACCAAAAGTGACTGTATGTTTCAGTTTGTGCATGTGCACCACAGGGTTGAAGTGTGTGTGTGTTGGGTGCTGAAGCGCAGACAAGTAGGCCATCATGTCACCTAGCAAGAATTGTGTCTCCTCCAGGGTAAAGATTAGAGGCAGATGTGAAACACTAACAGAGGCCCCTCGTTGTATCTCCGATTGATTTAGTTGAGTCCAGTTTCTAAAAAAACAAAACAATTATATTTAATTTGAGCATACAAAGAGAAAATGTGGGCAGCACGGTGGCGCAACTGGTAGAGCTGCTGCCTCTCAGCGAGCAGGTCGGTGGTTCACATCCCGGTCCGGGGGGCTTTCTGGGTGGAGTTTGCATGTTCTCTCCGTGCATGCGTGGGTTTTCTTAGGTTACTCCAGTTTCCTCCCACTGACCAAAAACATGCATGTTAGTCTGATTGGTAACTCTAAATTGTCTCTAGGTGTGAGTGAGAGAGTGAACAGTTGTTTGTCTCGTTTGTCTCTGTGTCCCTGTGATGGACTGGAGACCTGTCCAGGGTGTACTCTGACTTTCACACAGTGACTGCTGGACAAGGGCACCAGTGACCCCTGTGACCCAAAAAGATAAAAGTGCATAAAAGATAATACATGGATGAATTTGACATCCAGTTTTTGTTATAAATATGACTGCATTTTTGGAAAGATAACATTAATAACATATTGCAGAAAAATCCACATTGCTGAGATGAACAGTTGTTGAGATATTCTCATGCACAAGTCACAAGTCACGTGCGCCGCAGTATGGCTGCACTGACGGGAGCTCCTCTTCAACTTGATATTTTTTTGTTCTTGCACTGCACCCCACGCTATAGGTATGACTGTGGCACACTTTTGGAGTTTTCTGTGTCGCTGCCTTGCCATCATACCATTGTGGTTCAGTTCCTGGCCTCCCTCCAGCTTTGGGCTCAGGCTCTGGCATGGCAGCCGTCTCCATGATCCTCCATCTGACTGCACAGACCAAACTCTATGGACCTGTTTGGCTCCACGAGGAAACTTTGGAAGTTCTCTGTCTGCTGGGCCTGGTTCTGGACTGTGAGTTGTGAAGGCAACTTCTGTGGTCGTTATTACTATCAAGCCGCTGACCGGACCTGCTAACTAGACCTGCTAATGCTGCTAACAGAACAGAACCATGCTGCTAACCGAACTACACCGTAAATGTATTTCTTTTTCACTTTGGCACCTTGTTTTTTAGTATTTTTGCTGCATGCTTTGGTATTTCTTGTTGTTGTTTCTTTTTTGGTGAGTTGAAGCGGTTCTTCTCATCCTCAGCATTTCATTGCATTGTTGACCTTGTGTTGTTTTTTGCGTATGACAAATAAACCAAGCCTGAACAAACCTGCTCAGTAACAGGAAGTGATGTCAAATCGGAACATCTGCATGTAAACAGAGCATTGCTACAACAACGCAGACAGTAAAGAATCAGGTGTTTCTTTAGATAATTTTGAGACTCTATCAGAGAGAGACAACGAGTAAGAGTTCCAATAATGTTTCAACCAACAAAGACCAGGAAATTCCTCTTTCTAAATAATTTTTGATGTCACTTCCTGTTTCACTTTTCCCTCTCTCTCTGTGCTCCGGTGAAGACAGACATATCTCCCCCCCCCCCCCCCCGCTTCCCTGCTTGTTCACCTTCCTAATTTGAAGGATTTGATCAGCTGGTCTCTCAGCAAAATTGATCAACTTCTCCCAACAGGAGTCAGGGTAAGGAGGACCCTCTTACCTCGATGGAAACAAATTGGATTCATGATGACAACTGTTTTTGCTGTTTGGGTTGGTGAAATCAGGATTGCCTACAAATTTGTGTGGATGTGTCGAAGCTTGGCAGCACTCAGACTGAATTATGTGGAGCTGCGTCAGAGTTGGAGCAGCTGTTATCAGGACTGTGAACTTTCTGGCAGCACCCATGAATGGTTGGGAATTATCTTGGAGAAAGCTGTGAGCTCGACTTTCAGCGTAAGAAATCAATTTGGCTGTTTGGAGTCACCATCAGAGAAATCTACCAGCGAGACTTTAAAAGACAGAAACGGCAATTTACGAGTTCTGCCTGACCCAAACTGTGGCCTCGACGGCGGACTTATCTCAAACCCTCTTGACATGTTTAGAAAAAAAAAACAAAGATGCTTGGATGCTTTGTCTGTCTCCTCACCCCTCCCTTCTCCAAGGCCGTGGACATGTGACAGAGCCTCAACCGAGCTGAGGATGAATAACACCTCTTATCTGGACAATGGTTGGGGGGGGGGGGTGTTCTGGACTATGCTACGACCTTCCCTTAAAATTCAATTTAACAAGTATAAAAATTGTATTAACACTATTAAAGGACAGGTCTTAAGTATTTATGTTTAATAAACATGAGGGTTATCAGGGGGTCCCTGAACCCAAAAAGTTTGAGAACGCCTGCTTTAAACTGTTGTGTCCTCTGTCCTCTGCAGGGACGTCTGTGGCCGCCACGCCAGTCTCCGTTGTGACCAGCGACTCAGCTGGCTCTTCGTACTCAATCAGCGGCATCCTGGGAATCAGCTCAGCTGCTGACGTGGGCAAGAGGAAGAGGGATGAAGGTGAGCAGATGTCTTGTGTATTCTTATGTGCACTTGAGAAGAAGGTGTTTTTAAAGACCTCATGCAAACCCAAACTTACATGACTTGAAGATGAAGACCGAAATATTATCTCCTCCTTTAACCAAAATGGAGAGAACTCAGTGACAGGTGTGTGTGTGTGTGTGTGTGTGTGTGTGGGGGGGGGGGGGGTGTAACTTTTAAAGTAAACCTCTTCATTGAGAAATCTGTTTGTTTGCTAACAGTGCAGAGACCTACCTGAGCCGGCACGTTTGGTTATTTATGCTGCCTCTGGATCAGTGCTGCACATTGTGAACTTGTGTGTGCATGTGTGTGTGCAGGGCTATGAGTGTGCACGTGTCAGTGTCAGTGGCATTAAAAAGCCATCACGCAGACGGTCTCCTGCGGTAAATGAGACAGGACCAGATGTTGGAGTGAAGCAGGGTGACAGAATGCCACGAGGGGCTCTTTCACTCTCTTACGCACACTTGGTCCCTTTCTACCCTCACATGCACACACGCACGCACGCACGCACACACACACACACACACACATTGGTGCTTTTTTCCCCCCACTGCTGATGAATTTTCTACTCAGTTTGTTAGCAGGTTCCAGGTGAATCCCTTGTGAACCGTAAAAAGCTTAAGCTCACCTGTTTACCCATCAAAGAGACACAAAGACTGAAAACACACTAAACACACACTCCTGATATGATACAAACAATAATTGAGCTTTCAACTCAAACAAAAATACGACTAAAGGATCAGCTCTTTCCCCAACACTTATGAGGCACATTGCCCTTTTTTAATATCATATTTCCAGTTCCAGTAAAATCATAAAAACTGAAATTGCAAAAGTTTTAAGTGTAATAGTTTTTGTATAGTCTTTTCAGCAAATCACAGAATTAAAAAAACAAAAAAAAACCTCCTCACAATTAAATAATTCATGAGCAGTTTTGGGGTAAATGCAAATTTGGAAAATATGACATAAAAATGTAATAGTTGCTGAAATATTTCTAATATTTTAGTAAATCAAGGGACACATTTTATCCTGTTTTTAATTCATAGTTTCTTTAATATGAATTAAACCGTCAAACTATTGCAAAGTATTCAGCACTTTTTTTATTCTTTAAGCATTTTAAACACAGCTTCTTCTTATTGCTCCTTTGGAAAATAATGCCAACTGCAACACAAAAAGAGTTGTGTGAAAAGAAGGATTATTTAATTAGACATGACAGAAAGATGCAGTTTTGTCACAGATAAAACTATTTGTTTCTAAAATGTTCCTCGTCTTGTTTTCTTGAGCAAAATGCAGCAGCTGACAGGACGTTGTACAGATGCACTGGCTAGATTTACAGAATTTACTATGATGCCAACAACATTTATGTATAGGATAAAAGGTTGCAAAACACAACTCATAGCAGAGAAATAAATTTAATAAAGAATAAAACTGGTTAAGCGTTGTGAATCTACAAATCCATACCAGTAATTCTAGTGGGTTTGAAGACTTGATTGTTGGAGAAAACTTTATTTTACAGTAAAAAAAACAAAAACATTTGCCATATATTTTCTGAATTTTTATACATCTCACTTTATTTTTTAGGGCTAATCTTATTGATTGAATTGCACCAAAGAGTTTGACACTAACATCTGAGGTCAAAGGTGTAAGATCTGTATTACCTTTGAGCTTTTTTATGGTAAATGCACTGTACTTATATAACGCCTTTCTATCTTATGAAGATACTCAAAGCACTTTACACTACAATCTCTGTCCTCATTTACCCATTCATACAGCACTAGATCTCTACAAAGCTAATGAACAAATCATTTTAAAGAGACTAATCAGAGCTTTATCACATTCATACACTGATGGGACACACATCGGAGGCAATCAGTGTCTTGCCCAGGGACACTTCGCTATGTGACTGCTGGTGGATTTGAACACCCAGCTCCTGCATTGGAGGACGACTGCTCTAACCACTCAGCCACAGCCGCCCCACAATGTTTAGATGAACAGAAAACAAAAGGTCACAGTCCAGATTACTCACTACCTGTCATTAAACTGTTTGTTTCTCCACATTTCAGGATAAAAACAGAATGTGGCATACAGTTACTCTACATTATTACAAAAAATGAAAAGAAAAGAGGCTTAAAAGATAGGGCAAATGTAGGAAACATAAATAATCTATAACTCAGCCAACTTTAAAGATATTAGGCAAAATGTTGATGAGGTGGTAGCAGAGCATCATCCCCAGCCTGTACGCTAAACCAGGGGTGCCCAAACTTTTTCAACATGGAGCTACTTTTAAAATGTCCAAGGGATCTACCTATAAAGCCCCGTTTACACGAGAACAACCTTTGGAAATGTTAGTGTTTTTTTCAATGTTTATTGAGGCAATAAAAAAAAAAAATGAGTGGGTTTACATGAAAGCACTGTAGTTTCCATGTCAGTCAGGTTGCCAGATAAGAAATGATGAACTATAGTACTGTCACTTTAAAATGATAGTATTTTGATCTAATCTGTCATACAGGCTGAGTAAAGATACTCTTAAGATGAGGTGTGTTGTGTTTGTTGAACATGTGCGCAGAAAAGGAGGGGGTAAATAAGACATTTAAAAATTATCTGGCAACCCTCATTGCGCACGCAGCGTCTGCATGATCACAGTTATGCCAGAACTGATGAGTACCCTAAACAATATCAGATCATGCAAAACCTGTATTTGAAATTTGACAAACAGGAAACACCCTCTGTCTGTTAGCAAAATATCTTATGAACCACGGAATGGATTTCAATCATTTTATAGTCATCTCAATTCAAAATGGCTGCCACAGTTAATCAGCCTTAGATATAACAAAAATAAAAGCAAATTTTAGATGTTGAGATAAAATTTGGTGTGATAAAAACCAGCAACATTCCCAACACGTGTTCAGAGCACTACACAGTGTGCAATACTTTTGTTTAAAACTTCAGCATTAACTGTTGGTGCCAACACTATCTGTTAGCTTAATATCCCCAGAACCACAAGACATATTTGAGTAAGAATTATTAGATGTAAATACACAAGTGAGTGACTTTTGGAGCCGCAACATTCATTCAACCTTTATTTGTAGAGGTTAGTCCCATTGAGCCTCGGGGACTCATTTACAAGGGAGGCCTGATTTTAACAAAGAGTGATGACAACAGTAGACAATCATACAATAAAGCAAATAAATTGAAAAGAACAAGTGAAAGAAAATGGTATTAAAAAATGAAACAAAAACAACTAGGTTGTAAAGCGATGTGGAAAACAAAACAGGAACATGTCTGCATTGGTTTTTGCCAGGAACTTAGCAGATGTTTGAAGCCACTTAGAGAGATCTCAAATCAAGATCCCAACTTTTTGACTTTAATCCAATTTAAAAAGTTACTTCAATTCTGTAAACTTATAGATATTGACTCTGTCTTCTCTCATTAAAAGAGGATTTTTATTTAAAACCTTTGCATTAAACTACATCGTTAATATTGTCCCCCCCACCCCCACCCCCACCCCATCACAGAACGAAGTGGGGGGATTGGAAATACCCTGTTTGTGTTGTGAGCAGGATAACTTAGAAAATAAGTGAGGTACCAACTTCCATTTTGGTGTGTGGCTAAATCTTGGCCTCTGAAATTTGTGTTGCCATGTCAAAATCCAAGATGGACGCCTGCATTTATGTTTAAACCTACCACCCGAATCATTTGAGAAAACTCTGCTTTCTAGTTTTTATATTTCTTAAAAATTGTTTCCTCAAATGATTGGGGTGGCTGAAGATTAATCTATGGTGGTCAAGGCCACCATTGGCCACCCCCTGGCTCCACCACTGCAGCTGGTGGTGGATAAAAAGGCTCCCTCCAGTCACTCTTCTTACACACAGTGTAATTCCTACACACTTGAATGTCTTGCACCAAAAACATCAAGGATTTTCATTCCCCGTTCAGTTCCAGTCCAGACAAACACTCATCTAAAAAACTACCAACATTCACCGTTTAAATCTCTCTTCAACCGAACACATGGGCCCAACGCTTGTTTAGGAATCAGATTAAAGCAGGGTTTAAATCTACATTTAGTGCATGTTTGAGATACGACTTATTCTTCACATTTCTAAAAGTTTGGTTTAATTTAAAACTGCAGAAATTTGTAGCTACCCTTGAATTTGATGAACAACATCTTCAGGACTGCATCAATAAAGACGCGTGCTTCAAACATATAGATCAGTCACACCCGATCACTTCCTGTTCCACCAAAGTGCTCGAGAAGCTCCAGTCACTGCTCGGTGTCACATGCTGCTCGTGTGTTTTTATCTGCAGTGTTTCTGTGGCGGAGGTCTGCGCGGTTGGCTCTGCGGTCTAATTAACAGCATTGCTAATCACAGCTTCCATTAGAGCAGCCCCCGCTGGATAATGACACACACACACAGCGAGGGGCGACAGCAGGAACAGCATGGGCTGACATGGATAGACAAACAATGAAGCACGCTTCTCGCATACACGCACACCCATATGTTTATCGATGCTGACATTCTTGCACACATCACAGCCGCACACGAGGCCAAAACTCACTTTGTTCTTTCCTCACGTTGTCATTATGACCGTGTTTGACTGAATGGGTCAAGATCTACACACACAGAAGTGCTGTGGTGATTTATTAAACTGATCATACAATTCAGCTTTATTTGCCATATTGATCATGCCTTTTTGTTGCTTTGCCTGTCTGTTAGCAAAATATCTCATGAAACAGTGCAGGGATTGTGATGAAACTTATATTTTAAAAATTCCTTGACACACATCTATAAATGATTAACTTTTTGCGTCAAACTGATTCAGTATGGTTGCCCTAGCTCATTAACCTCAGCAAACACAAAAATGTCTAAAATTAAAAAAAATTTTAACAGATAATGAGCTTAAATTTGGTGTGATCAAAGCTGAGAGTAATCTCCAACGTATTCACTGAGGATTAACAGCTTGTACAATACATTTGTTTAAAACTGTGGTATGCACAGCATCAAGCTACGTGCATTCATGTAGTGTTTTCTGTAAAAGGAAACTAATCCAATTGATTAGTTCAAAACAAATCTAGATTCAAATCCAACACCCAGATGGTCCAATTCAGTCTAAAAAAGGCAAACCAGGAGATTGGTTTACTTTTGGTGCAATGTCCCATCCTGAGCAGCTGGAGGTGACAGTAGAAAGCAAGAACTCCCTTTGAACAGGAAGAAACCTGCAGTGAAGATTCTCATCAGAACTCTGGCAGCAACATTGTGAATCAGCTGGAGGCATTCAGGAAAAAATAAATATAAAAGGATAAAAAATATGACAGACTTTCATTCTGTT